TATATTCTATCTTGGTGAGGACACTCAATTGCATAATGTATTCAATAGCCCCTTACCCTAATCTTAACTTAAATCTTATTCTAATCTTAACCATCACAACTAAATGTCTAACCTTAACTTAACCTAACTCTAATTCTAACCATACAACCAAGTCTTAACCCCAAAACTGTCCATTAAAGGTGGGTCAGAAACTGAGGACCAGGCAAAATGTCCTCACCCCGTAGGTTGTAGGCTCAAACCGGTCCTCACAAAGATATCTGTACAAGAAAGCACACACACACACACACACACACACACACACACACACACACGTTCAAAGTGAACAATCATGTAAAGTAACTGTGAATGTGGATTTTTCTGTAAATATGTTTGAACAGATTTTATTTTTAAAGCGGAGAAACAGAAACTTGTAAATAAAACATCATCACTTATTTCAATTATTTACAAAATACATTTAACTCCGCCTCCTCGTTAAGTCTTCCTGTCACATGACCATCACACACCATCAGGCCTGTTATAGAGCTTGACTGATCATCCCAGCTGATCATGCAGTTACAGGGTTTGTCCAGTGGAGAGCGTAAAGCGAACAAAATGATTTTAATTTGAGAAGTTCTTGTAATGTGTCATTGCTTTCAGTCTGACCTCATGGTTGACATGGAAACAGATGGCCGAACATACAATAAACCATAAAATTAAATTCTCAATTCTCTGACTGCTGGTCAGGAGGGGTACTGCAACAGGGACTTTAACAGTTGCAGTACCCCTCCTGACCAGCAGGAGATATACACAGATGCAGCTTCTTCTGTACGTTTAATTTTTGTGTGAATATTTTACGTACACAGCTTATAATTTCACTTTTTTGACACGCTTTGTGCTTTGTTGTACTTGTGAACGATGACAACTTCCGTGTCAAAGGAACGACCGCTACCATCTTTGAACTGAGGCGTGTGATTGGTCAAGCTCGGGGGAGCAGAGTTCAGGGTGAAAATGTCCCAACGTCTGCTTCTCTGAAACAGGAAGTGTTTTTTTAACTCTTAAGTTTCAGCCAAACCGACACACGTGCTGTGATGTCATAACCTCAGTGTGTGTGTGGATCTGATCCGTGTTCAGTTTTACAGACGTGAAGTCACATCAGCTGTTTAGTTTTAACGTTCTTTTTTCTTTGTAACATTGTGACGTTTGTTGTTGTTGCAGCTTGTAGTCGCTTCGCTGTGTAAGATAAAACTTATAAAGAGATTGTGACTGAAGCTAAACTGTCCGACTCATCTTTTATCTCCCTCATCTATCAATATATATATCTCTATATATATCTATATATATATATATATAGATATATACTGAACTGTACATTGTCCACTCTGGTCAAGACTTAACATGTTGGTGACCGGGCGTGACCATATTAACACTAAACATAATAATAGCCCCTCCTACTAGCAACAGGATGTGACATTAAATTCCTCCATTCACTGTGCAAACACACAAAACCAAGCTGTGTAAACCAACCTCCAACAACTGCACCACAGCTGCAGCTCAACCCGACGCTGATTTCATGTTTTAAATTGTGTTGTTTGGTTGTTCAGTCAAAGTTGTTTCCTGCTTTATTTTGAAATGTCCCCCTCGTGTACATAGGTCTCTGTGCTTCCCTTTGTCTTTGTCTGTCTCAGTGTGTGCCATGTTTCCCTGTACAGTTAATATATATGTGTATATACACTCACTGGCCACTTTATGAGGTACACCGTGCTAGTACTGGTTCGGACCCTTTGCCTTCAGAACTGCTTTAATTCTTCGTGGCACAGATTCAACAAGGTGTTGGAAACATCCCTCACAGATTTGGTTCATGTTGAACTGACAGCATCACACAGTTGCTGCAGATTTGTCGGCTGCACATCCACAATGTGAATCTCCTGCTCCTCCACCTCCCAGAGGTTCTCGACTGGAGCACAGTGACCTCACTGTCATGAGAAACCAGTTTGAGAAGATCTTTGTGACATGGTGCCTTCTCCTGCTGGGAGGAGCCATCACAAGATGGGTGTGGTCATAAAGGGATGGACATGGTCAGCAGCAATACTCAGGGAGGCCGTGGTGTTTAACTGATGCTCAGTTGGTGCTGAGGGGCCCGAAGTGTGACCAAGAAAACATCCCCCACACATTACACCTCCACCAGCCTGAACCTTGATATGAGGATGGATCCACGCTTTCATGTCGCTTACACCAAATTCTGACCATGAATGAAATCAAGACACATCAGACCAGGCAACGGAGTGGCACTGGTGTGGTCTTCTGCTGCTGTAGCCCATCTGCTCCAAGTGTTGTGTTCAGAGATGATATTCTGCAGACCTTGGTTGTAATAAGTTGTTATTTGAGTTACTGTTTCCTTTCTATCATCTCCAACCACTCTGCCCATCCTCCTCTGACCTCTGACCTCAACACCCTCTTCTTCATCCACACTGAGGTGAACGGCCGCTCCCTGACAGAAACTCTTCTCAGGACTGTTCTCTGTGAACCCTGGAGATGCTGTGTGGCCTTCAGCTTCACCTCCTCCACGTGTGTCAAGACATCGAGCTGCTGCCATGTGATTGGCTAAGTAGCTATTTGTGTTAATGTTGTGGTTTCAACATGATTTATTATTAATCAGGAGCAAACATTCAGCTGGAGCTGTTCTGACAAATATAAATATAGTAGAAAGTATAAGATATAAAAAGTTCTCATAGTCTCCGATCTCAGTCTAGGCCTGTAGCAGCACAACTAAGGGATGAGCTGACAGGAGTAATATGATCTCCCCTTCTACTTCCTGTCAGCACTCTGCTGCAGCATTTTGGACCAACTGGAGACTTTTCTCAGACTTCCTGTGACGTCCTGATAATAAAGAGTTAATCTAGTCTTGGGGACAAATGGACGAGTTTCTCAGCGTCCTTCTGAGAGAGGATGTTTCTAATGTTCATAATTTTGTGCAGGTGGAAGAAAGCTGTCCTTGAGACTTGTTTTATATGTTGGTCATATGTCCTGGTTCCTCCTCACAATCTCATGATCTATGGTGTCAATCGCTGCACTAAGATCCAACAGGTCGAGGACAGAGACAAGTCCATCATCTGAGGCCATGAAAAGGTCATGAGTGACTTTTAACAGCTGTCTCTGAGCTGTGATGGATTCTACATCCTGACTGAAAGTTTTCCAACAAACCGTTTCTATCTGAGTCGTCACACAGCTGGTTAGCAACAGCTTCCTCTAGGATTTCAGAAATGAAGGTTTGATATGGGTCTGTAATGAGCTCAGACCTCTGGATCAGGCTTTTTATCAGAGGTTTAATTACAGCTACTTTAAAAGCTTGTGGTACGTAGCTGTTTAACAAAGAAATGTTCATCTGATTTAATATGGAACTGTCAATCATGGGGACACTTCCTTAAAAAGTCCAGTTGGGACAGAGTCTAAAAGACAAGTTGTTGGTTTACATGATGAAACTAATGAGGTCAGTTCAGAAGGTCAACAGAAGAGAAATGGTTCAAACATAAATCTGGTTCTATGGTTCCAGGACCAGACAATGTATCTGTGCTCTTCATGGGGAGGAGGTGGTGGATCTGATCCCTGATGGTTATAATTTGATTTGTGAAGAAGCTCATGAAATCATTGCTTCTCAGGGTTAGATGAATAGATGGGTCAGTAGAGGTGTGACTTTCTGTCAGCCTGGCGACAGAGCTGAAGAGGAACCTGGGCTGGTTCTGATTTTCTTCTATTAATAATGAATAATAAGAGGTTCTGGCATTTCTCAGTGCTTTCTTGTAATTCATCAGACTATCCTTCCAGGCTCGGTGAAAGTCATGTTGACTGGTGGAACGCCACTTCCTCTCACGCTTCTGTGATGTTTTAAAACACGTGTTTGAGAATTATACCACGGAGCTGATCTCCTCTGATTTACCTTCTTCTTTTTTAGCAGGCGACAGCGTCAAGGGTTGTTTTTAATGAGGCTGCTGTTCTATTAACTAATTTATCAACTAATGTGGGAGTAAAGTTTTGAGAACTTTCCTGTATTGTACTGACACATGGCTGAGAGGTAAGTCTAGAAGGAGGCAGTTCTTTACATGTGTTCACAGTTTTATCAGATAAACACCGACTATAATCGAATTTCTGTCCAGAACCAGTGTCGTCAATAATTCTAAATTCAAATGAAATAAAAAAATGGTCGGACAGAAGTTTCCGTGGAAATATTAGATTTTTAATGTCTTTGCCAGAACAAGATCAAGAGTTTGGTTTAAACAATGAGTTTATTCACATTTTCAGTCTATTATTGAGTTAAATGCTGAACATGTTGAAATCACGACTATGATTTTATCCCCTACAAACGAGCTCAGAGAGAAATTCAGAGAATTCTGATAAAACGGAGAGAATTCAGATTTAGAGTAAGGGGCGGACGATGTATAATAACTAGATGAACTGGTTTATGTGATTTTAAAGATTGCATCCCCCACATACAGCCATCGCTAGACTCAGGGTTAGGGTTGGTTCAGGTTAGGTTGGTTAAGGTAAGGTTAGCATTGGTTTAGGTAAGTAAGGTTGGTTAAGGTTAGAGTTGGTTTAGGTTAACGTTAAGTGAGGTCATGGTTGGTTTAGGTTAGATTAAGACTGGGTTGGTTTAGGTTAGGTTAAGATTGGGTTGGTTTAGAGTTGGGGTTAAGGTGAGGTCAGGATTGCTTTAGGTTAGGTTAAGTTGGTTAAGGGTAGGTTAAGGTTGGGTTGGTTTAGGGTAGTTTAAAGTTGGGTTCATTTATTAATTTAAATTAATCACTTTTCCTTTAAAACTGAGAAGAGTGTTTTGCATTGATTACTTTTTAATCTATAGTTAAAACATTCAAATTTGATTTGATTTCTTTTTCTCATGACTTTAAATGTACTAACACTAATCTTTTTTAACATGTATACTTTATTTTATAATCATATCATTTTAATGCACGCACTGACATTTTTAAAACAATATGATATGAAATGAAATTCTGCATCTGTTTATTTTTTTCAACTTTGACTCTTTTTATTATTATTCACATTGTTTGACTTGTGTCATTTAACCGACTGATGAAGTCACCAGAGCTCAGAGATTCTATTTTTGAGTGTTTGCTGCCCTCTTGTGTTCACTTTGAGTCACTGCTGGTTGTGATCAAACTAAACTCATGAGGACTTGTGTGGACCTTATCCAGAACTGGAAGACTAATCGTCATGACAACAATGTTTTCACAGAATAAATAATTTATATTCATATCAAGAGACAATCCTGAATATGATCTGGTCTCAGTCTGTCACCGTGTGTTAACAGCACAGTCACACATGTAGACCTGAGAACTGACTCTGGATCAGGTTCTGGATCAGGTTCACAGTAAAGACACAGGAAACTTATTTTAAATGTTTATTACAAAACACAAGAGAAAACATGTCGACAGGTTTTATTCTATTCAAACACGACACGACGACCACGACCTGCAGGTGAACAAACAAAACCACATGGCGCTAAATGTGAAACAGACGAACGAGGACAGCGTCCAAAACCAAGGGGGGGGGGGGGCCCACAGGTCATGACCCCGACGACCTGTGGCTCACTTTCACTCACACGTCATCAAATAATGTCCAATCAACTGCCGCCTGACGGCACCACGAGAGCTCGGTCCAAGACGTTGACCAGTACCGTGTGACATCATCATACAAGTTTCACTTTTGTCATTTTTTGTCGTTGTCAGAAAGTCTCAGAAACGTCTACGCCCCCCCCTCCCCAGTTTTAATTGTCATTTAAACTTTGACTGTTCAGTGAAATTAAAGTCTTATTTCTGATATACAGGCTTTTATTTTGAAAAAACAGACGTCTGGTGATGACGATAAACGATGAATGTTGCTGTGTAACGAGGGTGCTTGCTGTTTGTCTTTTTTTTACATTTAAATACCATTTATATTTATATATTAACATTGTTCCAAATTCATAAATACGTAGTGCAGTTTCCTGTTCAACCGCTGCCACCATCGCTCTGACGCTGCAGGTCGAACAAACTCTGCTTAAAAACTACAAATATGGCCGACAAGCTGCAGGTAATAGTCTTCATGCAAATGTTAATGTGAAGGAAGTTGGAGCGATCTACTCATCTCCGGTTTCACAATTTAAAAATGATTTAACAGTTAACCAATGAGAACGTCAGCCAATCAGAATCACTCATGGAGGAAGTGGACCTTGATGTCACAGAGGAAAAACACGGAGACGAGTCGCTGCTCTGACTCGTAGGAAGATTTATCAACAACAAACATCAGCTGATTGAGAGAAAAACAAAGCGGGAATATGAATAAATAAATAAAATGTAAATGAGTTTTAGGATCGAAAACTTCGTAGTAAATAAACTTCCATACTATCAGTTTCCCAGAATGCTGTGCGAGCTGTTTCCACGGCTGATGGGAAACATGGCTGCAGGTGGGCGTGGCCTCAATTAGATAAAAGCTCTTGGGGGGGGGGGGCACTTTAAATCTAACCGTCAGATTTGACCATATAAGGACGTCCTGCTGTTATCTACAGAGATGAACCAACCAAGTCCCAAAGTCTGACCAACCAACGCAGATTCAGAACCACCTCAGCGCAGGTCCTGAACCAAGAGCTGGTTGACGTCACTCTGTGTCGGACTCCAATGGGGCGGTCTCGTCTAAAATGGGTCTCTTCCGATGCTTAGTTGCGGTGGTTGAGTGGGCCCGCTGCTCCTCCTCCACGTGAGCCTTCTTGTGGCGGGAGAAGCTGGACGAGTGCATGAAGGTCTTGTTGCAGGCTGCGCAGGTGTAGGTCTTGTTCTTGGCAGCAGGGAGTCCGGCCTTCGTGTGAACCTGCTTCTGGTGCTGCTGCAGCTTCCCCCGCCCACCATCCCCCGTTCTGTGGGTCTGCTGGTGCCGTGCCAGGCTGGAGGCATGGCTAAAGCGCTTCCCACACAGGCTGCATCCGTGACGACTGGCTCCTCCTCCTCCCCCCTCCTCATCTTCGGAGGTGGCAGAGCCCCGTTTTCCGGCACGCCCTGCCCGACGGCGGTTCTTCTTACAAAGGGTGTAAAAGTTGGGCTTGTCGCGGGAGCAGAGCTTGAGGCGGATCTTGAGGTCCGACGAGGTCTCTTCCAGGTTTTCTTTACCCGGTGTGTAGTTATCCAGCAGCTCCTTGACGTGGGTCACTTGGTGTTTGGACAGCTGTGTGGACGTCCTGAAGCTCATATCACACTGCGGACAGGCATAGAACTTGTCGCCACCCGGGCTCTGAATGATGGCGGCTGCTACGTGCTGCTGCTGCCTCTTGGTCTTCTTGTTCTTCCTGCCTGCCTTTAGCTTATGGCGCAGGGAGGTCACAGTTGGGCTGAGGGTGGCTTCCTTAGGGATTCCTTTTCCTTTCTTGTGGATGAGGCGGTGGCGTGACAGGCTTGAGCTGTGGTTGAATTCCTTGCCACAGATGTTGCAGGGGTGAATCCGCCGCTTCCCGTGCAGCCGCAGGTGACTCCCCAGCATCCTGACAGGTAAACAAATATCCCGCCATTAGAACTGCAGCCGTTGCCCAAAATCAACCAATCATTTTGTCTGAGGCAGCAAATCATCAAAGTGACTGAAGAAATCGATCGAATGTCAGAACAGTCTGATGAAATCAGATACTTGATTTTTCACTATTGATGTTTCACTGATCCAGACCCCCCCCCGCCCCCAGGTATCTCTGAGTCCACAGCTGCAGGATTCAGACAACTACTACTGTTATTATTGTTAACTGTTGTGGCTCACTGATGAAATCTTATCAATAATTATCACTCTTTGTTTTCATAGTGAGTCAGAAGCCTGATGATTACACAACTGGTCCAGGTCTCTCTCTCTGTCTGTCTTACACCCCCCCCTCTGTCTTGGTTTCTCTCTCACTGTCTCTCTCTTCCCCTCTCTGTGTGTCTTTCTCTCTCCCCCCTCTCTGTCTCAGTTTCTCTCTCCCCTCTCTGTCTCTTTCTCGCTCACTGTCTCTCTCTTCCCCTCTCTCTGTCTCCCCCCCCCTCTCTGCCCCCCCACACACTGTGGGTTTTCTGTTCATTGTGTGAACTGATGTTTTCTCTGTAACTTTTTTTTATTAAGGTCTAAATATGTAAAGTACCTTGAGATCATGTGTATTATGTTATTTTGTTATTACAATAAAATGATTGAGAAGATTATCAGGAAATAACTTTTCCTTATAGAAACATAAAACACGGGCGATATAACGTTGATAGTTATGTTGGCGAACTGTAACGAGCCGAAGCAGATCAGCTGCCCCTGTGGAGGCGTTGCCTGTTGCCATGGCAATGCACCGTGGTCTCAATTAAAGGCCGGCCCACAGCATCACCATGGCGTCTTCCAAACACTCACCGAAGTCGGAGGATGTGAGATGTGCCGGCAAAATAATCCACAAACCGTGATAGAGAGAGAAAGTTGAGGAAGTTTAGTCTCTTGTTCAAGTCGATTCTCCGACGGACGATAACTGACTTTACGAGCTACGGATTCAATCATGAACATTTGTGTTGCTGATGAACTGAAAAAGTTCCACTGGATGGTTTAATGTTGTTTATAAGCTGAGATATAAACTCCAGACAGTTTTGGTAATTAACTGGAAAATGTATTCTTATTAACTCTGATAAACTCTTAACACCAAGTGGAAACTGTTTTATTTTTGGGAAAGTTGAAGGTTTCTGTGTTTTTGTGTTATTACATTTCTGAGTAATTTAGAAACAAAGTGATGTTTGGTTGTTCTGATAATTTATTTAAGGCTGTATTTGTGTGACTGTTAAAATAACTCAGGTAAAGTTCTGTCTGGAACCTCAGTATGAGATCGTTGCACATCAGACAGCAGCAGCAGCTCGTGATGTTTGAGTTCCTGCAGCCGAACACCAGAACATCACGAGAACATGAGACAGAAGCGACAGAGTTACAGAAGAAGATCAAAGACCAAAACTGAAGCTCACATGTTGAGTCTGAGGAATTCAGTGAGTTCAAAGTCAGACAGGAAGCAGTTCCTGTAAACTTTGTTCTTACAAATATTTTTACCATCTAAGGCAGAAAGGACACATTTATATGTATATTATATATTCATATATACATCTGACCAGACCCTGGACCTGGATCAGACCCAGGATCAGACCCTGGACCACACCCTGGACCTGGACCAGACCCTGGACCAGACCCTGGACCACACCCTGGACCTGGATCAGACCCTGGACCAGACCCAGACCTGGTTACCAATAGGTGAACAGTGTTAACAGTACAGACCTGCTGCCTTTGAAGCTCATCCCACAGTGGGGACAGGTGTAGCGTGCGTCCTGATGAGTCGGCTCCAGCGCCCGTTCGGTGGGTGGTGGTGCACCGGCATTCTTCCCAGTGTGTGTCTGCTGGTGGCGATACAGGCTGGAGGCGTGGCTATAGCACTTTCTGCAGTAGCTGCAGCGGTACTGCCGCTCGTCCGACTCAAAGTCAGCCTGGTCCGAGTCAACCTCACCATCCAGTTGGCTGCTCCCCGCCTCCACCAGCACCTCGTGCTCCTCCTCGTCGTCTTCGTCCTCATCATCAGAGTCCGTCTTTATCTCCACGCTCTGCTCCGTCACCTCACAGGGGTACACCTCCTCGTATGGAGCGAAGAAGGCCTCATCCGTCTCGATCTTCAGCTGGTCAGGAGTCAGGTCTGACGCTTCGTCAGAGTCCTTCTTCACGCAGGAAATGGTGAACTTTGAGCCGACCTCAGCCCACTTCACCACGTACTCAATGGGCTGCGTGTCCAGCTCCACCGTGATGAAGTCTGCACCCAGGGCGTCTGACTCCGACACCGCCAGCTCCGCCTCCGAGTCCTCCATCTGAAGAGAGCTGCAGGAGAGGAATAGAGTAGGAGGAGCCACAGGCCTGAGGAGGAGTAGTGTTCATCATCATTATTGATTATAAACAATATGAGAATCATTTCATCTACTTTATTGAAATTATTTAATTCTTCATAGAGCAGAAATATATTCTATAGATGTTGATAAGGAAAAAGTGTTAGTTTCTCTGCGACAAACCAAACGTCATTTTTAACGTTAGTGTGACGTCAGGAGCTCAACAAGGCGACACAGCTGTTCATTAAAAAACGCGCAGCTTCATTAACGTCACTTCAACGTGAAATCTTCACGTTAGGTCACGAACGTTTGATCTTTATCCCTTTTTCACATCGATCACTCGTTTCCGGGCTCGAACACATTTTCTTCCTCTCCGGTAAACGGTGAACAGAGAAGCACAGCGCGCGCAGCACACACAGCTCCGGGCCTGGCGGGGAAATGTTCCGGGATTCGGTTACTCACCGGTGCTTAACGGCGGGAAAACGGAGAGATCGGGAGGATTTTACCGGTGGAGACGGTCACAATAAACAGGAAGCACGGGCACAAAGCATTGTGGGAAGGATTAAATGGTTGCGAAGAACGGAAGTATGGTGGATTGACTTTCACAATAAAGCGTGGTAAAATAAAATGAAATGAAAACATCAAATAAATAAATAAAATTTCAAAATCAAGCTAAAAAAAATACTGAAATTATATAAATTGTATTAATAGACAAGAGATGATAAAGATTAAGAGGAAGATGAAGGTGGTGATGATCAAGACGAAGAGGATGATGAAGATGATGATGAAGAGGATGAAGGTGAAGATGATGAAGATGAGGAGGAAGATGAAGAGGATGAAGATAACGAATATGATGATGGAGATGAGGATGAAGAGGATAAAGAGTATGATGATGATGATGAAGAGGATGAGGATGAAGAGGAGTATAAAGAGTATGATGAAGCTGATGATAAAGATGATGATGATGATGAAGAAGATGATGATGAAGATGCTCTAGATGAAATATTCCTTACAGTATCTTTGATCCTTACTTGTCCTTTGATTCTCACTTAAAACTACGTAATATCTCAAAAATCCGATGCAGAAAAACGAGTCCAGGTCTTTGTCCATCCAGAATGATTATTCTGGAGACTCCCGCTCTACGTTTAAGATTCAAACTTCCTTCATGATGAAGTTTTAGTTAGAGCTGGTCCAGGTTTGTCTTGGACCAGCTCTTAGTTCTGCTGCTGGAGGTCTGGAAGGTGGAGGACACATGACACATGGAGCTTCTCTTTCCTCTTCATCATGTTAATGTCTCATCAACACGTTACTGACGTGACTTCTTCACCAGAGACCTGGTGCTCCATCGTTTGTAGATCCAGGATCATTATGGTGATGAAGACGATGATGAAGACGATGATGAAGACGATGATGAAGACGATGATGATGAAGATGATGTGGTGATGACGATGATGAAGATGTGATGAAGGGCATGATGATGATGAAGATGTGATGAAGGGCATGATGATGGAGATGATGATGACAATTATGTGATGAAGAGGAAGATGAAGATAATGTGATGAAGGGGATGATGATGAAGATGCGATAAAGAGGATGATGATGAAGGGGATGATGAAGATGATGATGATGATGAAGATGATGATGAAGTGATGAAGGGGACGATGATGAAGATGATGGTGAAGACAATGATATGATGAAGGGGATGATGAAGATGACGATGATGATAAAAATGATGTAATGAATATGAAGATGATGATGAAGATGGGGCCCAACGGTTCTTCTCTTAAAATTAGCATTTTGTTCAATTGTCCACACACACACACACAAACACGCGCGCGCTCCGTTTTTTACTTACGATTGATTCGTCCTCGGTTCCTCCGGGTCCAGACTCTGGTCTTGGTCCTGGCTCTGGTCCGGGTCCAGACTCTGGTCTTGGTACTGGCTCTGGTCCGGGTCTTGGTCCGGGTCCTGGCTCGGTTCTGCAGCGCCTCTGAGCCGGGGAGTAGCGACAGCTAACATCCGCTGCTGCGGCACGGAGCTACACGGAGCGGCAGCAGAGCGGTAGATGTCCATTCAGAGTCAACTAACGTCGCGGCAGAGAGGCGACCAGCGGCAGACAGCGCGGGTCTTCTCTGCTCTGTGATTGGCTGAGCTCATGCGCAGCCCGCACGGTGCGTGCAATGTGATTGGTCGGCCGTAAACCACCGGCAGACGTCGTAAGATGTCGTGAAACGCCAGAGTGCTTTTTTAAAAATGCTTTATTGACAGACAGCATTAACAATTAACAATAAAAACATAACACATAAAACATGAATAAGCAGAAATGAACCATAAACCTTTATCGGTGTTTTCACTTTTTCTTTTTAGTCTTGAATTGATATATTGTTTGGTTTAAATTACAATTATTAAAAACATTTTAAATTGTGGATATGTGGTTTAAATAGTAATACGATCAAATGAATAACGTAATATTGATCCATAAATTATCGACCAGAACAAGTGATGAATCAATGTCAGTGTACTTTTTATATCACAAGGATGGAAACGATGAATGAATTTGATCCTTGATCTTTTTGACATTGAGAGATTTAGCGGGAAGGTTTGTCTGTTTTTAAAGACCAACCAAAAACGTTACAGTTATATTTGTCATAACAACTGGAATCTGTAGTGTTGTGTCATTATCTGCTTCAATAATCATTGATCACCAATAATCATTTGGTATAGTTGTAGTAAATATACATATATGAAATATAAAAAATACCATAAGTACCTGCGGAGGGATTGTGTAAAGTACAGTTATTGTCCACAAGAAGTCAAAGTGTCTCCCAGGTCTTGTTGATGAGCAGCAGCAATTTTATGGCGTCAAGGAGGTTTCGGTCCTGATGAGCTGCAGCCTCCTGCCAGAGGGCAGTGGCTCTAAGAGTCCATGACCAGGTTGGGAGGGGTCTGCCACAGTCTTACCTGCACGCCTCAGGGTCCTGGAGACGTTCAGGTCCTGGATAGAAGGTTGCAGCCGATCACCTTCACCTGGTCCTTGGGACCATACGGTGATGGAGGAGGGGAGGATGGACTCAATGATGCTGTGTACAAGTTCACCTTCATTGACTCCAGGGTGTCCACGCAGCCTTCAGGGGATCTGGTGCTGATGGTCCAGGGGTAAGAGACATGTTTTCCCAGCTTCACATGCTGCCTCCTGTCAGACAGGAAGTCTGTGATTCACCTGCAGATGGAGTCAGGCATGCTCAGCTGTGAGAGCTCATCCTGGAGCAGATCTGGATCATGGCGTTGATTGCAGAGCTGAAGTCCACAAACTGGATCCTGGCTTAGGTTCCTGGGGAGTCCAGGTGCTGGAGGATAAGTGGAGCAATGTTTACAGCATCGTCTACAGATCTGTTGGCTCTGTAGGCGAACTACAGAGGGTCTAGCAGGGGGTTGGTGATGTCCTTGAGGTGGGACAGGACAAGACATTCAAAAGACTTCATTACCATAGTAGTCAGGGTCTGTGGCCATTAAGTCCTTTGGTCCTCATTTTTTTGGGGATAGGGATGATGGTGGAGGATTTGAAGCAGGCTGGCACCTGAAAGGTCTCCAGTGAGGTGTTCAAAATGGCTGTGAACACTGGACATAGCTGATCGGCACAGTGATTCAGGATGGATGGGGAGACAGAGTCAGGTCCAGCCGCTCAGAGGGTTCCTTCTCCTGGGTTAGAGCCTGTTAACGTCCCTCTCCAGGATAGAAAGGGGTGATACTGTGGTAGAGGGGGGAGGGGCACTGTGGTATATTTACATGTAGCTCTGATGTTATGTATTTCTAATATTTTTTTGTGATAATATTGTAAACTATTAGTTCTGTGGCAAAGAATTGTGGGACAGCATTTTCCTTTGATAAAGGATGGTTTGATGTTTCCTATGTGACCTCTGACCTCAGACCTGACAGCTGCAGGTAGACCGATTGTCACAGATCACCTGACATCATGTCTCATCAGACCCCAGCTGAACTCATTAAATAATTAATTATTTAATAGTTATTAGACTGAAGAAGGTCACGGTTAGGTCATGTGAAGGTCATGTGACCATATTCAGATCAGTGAGTTTTATTTCCTTGTTGTCATGTTAGCTTATCATGAACAGTGATGTCACAGAGAGCAGTGATGCCATCATCTTTTATTTCTGTAGCGAATCATAGCAAGGTTCAATAAAAAGCACCATTCAGGGTCATGTGAGCTGTCAGCTGACTGACGTCCTCCACACAAGGTATTCTGGGAAATTAAGCTGTTTCTCTTTAAGTCTGTACATCTGCATACTGGCTAACGACACAGGATGAGCTCCACCAATCGGTCGCTGCGTCTGGAGTAATGAAACTCAGAGACCAGATGCCATCATGGAAACTAAAATCAGACAAGATGTGCATCACAGGATAAAACAATAAAATCATAAAACAGCTGTTGAAACAAGATTAATTCAATAAAGCCTGCCCCTCCTGCTGCCAGGATCAGCTGTTTCCTGTTTGAACTTGATCAATACATTGATCATTTAATGGCTCAAAGCAGAAAATTCATTACAAACTATCTCAATCTGTTTCTAAACACGTCACAGGTTCCATCAGATGAAGACTGATCCTGATTGGAGGAGAGTGGCAGCTCAGTGTGGTGATGTCACAGCATGAAGGCGGCAATGGTTAGTCTGTTACGATCATGTGCGTTGATCAGCAATAAAGCAAGAAGAAGAAGAAACGTCACTGTTGTCATCAATTTCACATCTGGAGAGAAAGAGATACAAGGAATGAGAAAAACCCGTTCACACCTGATCAGAAACAGGTGTGTCTGATACTCTGGACACTGTGACTCACCTGGACAGGTGACCCATGCAGCCATTTGTCTTTGTCTCCACCCACGTTCATGCAGGAGAAGAGGTCACAGACAGGTGACAGCAGACGCTCCTGAGAACAGTCACAACCTATAAGAATGTGTCTTTGATCTGCACTCCAACACTGCCCTTTGATATCTGTTGTCATGACAACTAGCATGTGTGGTTACCTGAGCCTGACTCTTCCTCAACAACCATTTGTTGTCATGACAACCCCCGGACCCCGGCAGGGATGATGGGGAGGGGGCTGGCTTGAAGACGGAGCTGTGCTCCTCCCTCGTGGCCTTCTCCTCATCAGGAACCAGCCAATCAGAGAGCGGAGAGGTGAGGGGAGGTAGGCGGGAGCAGGGGGAGGAGGGGTGTAGCCAGGCATCCAGGATGGCGTGCACCTGAGGCGACAAACCTGAGGTCACATTACCAGGTCACCAGGTCCAATATTTATAACCAACAAATGCAGCTGACATCATCACATCTGTAAACATCACTGCTCTTAGTTCTGCTGCTTCAGGTCTAGAATGTCAGGGGACACGGCTTCTCTTCTTCCTCTTCATCACATTAATGTCTCATCAATATATAGATATTACTGACTTCACTTCTTCACCAGAGGATGGCGCTTTATCACTGCAGTCACAATTGTGATCGTAATGATTGATCCTTTAAACATTGACACACCTCTCCGTTATGTCAAAAACAGTTTGTTCTAACCAACACAGGACATCTATTGCACTTCAGTACAGTGATTGTGATGGTGGATCATGATTGTGGAGGTCAGTGAATTAATGTTTGTGTTGTAATCTCAATCCACAGTGTGGCTCTAACAGCGATCCTGGATCTTCAACAATGAAAAACTCCAAGGACATAATCTGTCACATGACTGAAGCTGTGAGAACATTTCATCTCAACGTCTCAAAAGGAAAGAAAACTTTAAAGTATGAAACAAGTTGTTGTTACCTTCTGCTCTCTGTTGTAAAGGGTGGGTGGGGTGTTCTTTGTGGTGGGCGGGGCGTTCTTGGCCATAGGGACACCGTTCTTGTCTCGTCCGTCCTGCTGCAGCAGCCACATGGTAAGAGCTTCTCTACCACAGTTCTCCTCGCAGACGCAGTCAGAGTAGGCAGAGCAGACTTCGTTGGCCTTGCAGGTCTGCTGCACCGGCCGCGCCTGCTGCAGCCACGCATCCAGGACTGCCGCTGGTGGGGTGACAGGGGTGTGTGCGGAGGTGTGGCTTGAGGTGACAGGGGTCTTTAGGCACTTTAACTGACCCAGGTTCTCGATCTCCACAGCCCTAGTGGTCTGACAGCAAGAGGAGCAGTCGGCTGCCGGGCGGCTCGACCCCGTCAGCCAATCAGAAGACGACCAGCTGTCATTAAAAGGCTTCAACACCTTCTGCCATCGCTCAGCGTTTGACATGGTCTCCATAGCATCAGTGGGCGGGGTGATGAGCCAGTCGCTCAGCTCTTCATCCTCAGGGTTGACGGTGAACTCTGATTCGTCAATCTTTTCAATGGAGAAGGAGGAGCTGCAGCTGCTGAGTGCCCGGCCCCTGCTGACGGACGTCTGGTCGTGCAGAAGCCATGCCTCCAGGTCCCTGAGCTGACCCCAGGCCTCTAGGAAGTCCACAGAGGAGAGGACTGGACAGGATGTCTGCACAGACACATGGAAATTCAGTCCAAAACGTCAATGATGACAACAAATGACAGAATAAACCAGAACCAGATAAATCATATCGATTAAACATGCAACGGACACAGGTCACATTACAGGAAGTGACACAGCATTCACCGCAGGAAGTGATGACGGCGGCCACTGCAAAACTGATGATGATCATCGCAGGAAGTGATAAGTAAATCAAAAGGCTGACAAGTTTCTACTGATGATAAATAAACTTGGTTTTCTTCTTGTTTCAGCTTCATAACATCAGACCTTGTTGCTCTCACCTTGCTCTCCTTGAGTGACATTAGCCAATCCTGAGGGTTCTTGCTGGACAGGGAACCAATAGGAGAGTTGCTGGTTGGACGACTTCCCAGCAGCCAGTCACCCAGAGCTCCGACCTCAGATGTCTGACGAGAGAGAATTCAGAAGGATCCGGATCAGGAGATCCGAGCTGGACCAAAGTCACAGGAAATGCTTCCGGATGAAGGAACTCATTGAATTACCTCACTGTAGCTTACGTTAGCGAACTCAATTCAATGTCATTTTACTTGTATAGTGCCAAATCATAAAAACATTATCTCAAGGTTCTTTACAGGGAAGGTTGAGACTAGAGGGCTGCATTGGGATTGGGTCCCGCTGGGTCACGTGGGACCCAACGCAAATCTCACGGGAGGGGGTGGTTTGAACTTTGCTGCAGACGGGAGCGGGCGGCTAAAAAAAACACTGCGGGATCGGGATGTAGCCTGGCAACAGGATGGAGTCAACAAATGATGTGGAAAAGAAGCTCAAACAAGGTCTTTACAACACAAACACAAAGCAAGGCAAACAAACAACCCCATGAATATCTTTATTAATAGCCTATAAAATGACGTGTTTTCTCCTGCAGGACGGGAGAAGACACAAAATCAATGCATCTCGATTATTCTGCGGGCATAAATTCTCAGAGTTTTGCGGGAGCAGGCGGGAGTGTAACACACACGTTGCGGTTGCGGGCGGTAATGGTCGGAAATTCAGCGGGAGCGGGATGAAGAAAACAGTCCTGCGCAGGGCTCTAGACCCTAAAATTTACACAGTCCCACAACAGTTCCCACAATGAGCAGCTGACAACTGTGAGAGAAAAAAAACTCCTCATTAACTGGAAGAAACCTCTCGCAGAACAACTGCTGATGTTAGCTGACATCAGCTAACAACTGCTGATGTTAGCTGACATTAGCTAACAACTGCTAATGTTAGCTGACATTAGCTAACAACTGCTAATGTTAGCTGACATCAGCTAACATACGCTAATGTCAGCTGACATTAGCTAACAACCGCTAATGTTAGCTGACATTAGCTAACAACCGCTAATGTTAGCTGACATTAGCTATCCTGCTGCTGATGTTAGCTGACATTAGCTAACAACTGCTAATGTAAGCTGACAGTAGCTAACAACCGCTAATGTTAGCTAACAACAGCTGTAGGAGCCAAAATTATTGTTTGCATGAACTCATTTCTGTTGTTTGAGTCTGTAAATGGAAGGAAATTAGATGACATTACATTTAGCTGACGCTTTTATCCAAAGCGACTCACAATAAGTGCATCAACCATGAGGGAACCCAGAACTACAAGAATCAAGTCAGTACAATTTGTCCAACTACAAAGTGCTCCAATTTAAGTGTCATATAAGTGCAACGAAATAGGTGGAAATAAACCGAGGAGGCTCACATCCTCAAGACCTGCTGCTTTAGTTTAAATGGAGTCCTTAGTTTATCATTGGAATCCTTATTTCGGTTTTAAATTTACCTTCTGATTGACGTGATTGACTTTTTTGTTCATAAATACTGTTTCATTTTTATTTTTTTATTTTATTCTTTGAACAATTTTTTCTTTCTCCATACGTGTCTAGTCAGACATAGTTGTTTCTCAGCCACCATAATGGTTATATAGGACAATGACAAACCAATACAAAAGCTAACGGCAGTGAACATAAGCTAACGTTAGCCATGCACCAAAATATTTGACTTTCTTTACCTGCTTCTTTGCTGTGATTGGGTAATTCTGCACCTGGACTCTCTGGGGGGCCGGGCTCTGGGAGGACACACCCTCCACAAGCTGCAAACAGGAAATACAGCAAACACCTTGTCAGCATCACACTGTTGAGTGTGTGTG